TTGCAGCGGTGAAACTCACAAAACTCACAAAACAAGAAAACAAGAAGAAGGAGACAAAGCTCTGGCCGTGATTGCAATTATATACATTCTTGGAAGTGGTAGTGTGGCTGAACACATCTTGTCAACAGATTGGAATTTGTCCAGAAGCAGTGATGTCTGGAGGTGCCTGTTCATTCCTTCTTTTGCGAATCGCCGCCCCAGATCAAAATTATGGAGGAATATCTTACATGCCTGGAGCAAGTTGTTCCCTACGGAAAGACGACAACCCTCAATGGTTCACGAAGTACTCAATCAGATCCTGAGGCTCTTCGAGAACTCATGGATCTTGAAGGAGGACGGGACTCCATATATGGCAGACGGCTCTAGAGGCTCTTTTGGAAGGTCCTGGGCCGAGAGAGGAATAATTCAGGTAAAGGACCTCTGGGACCAGAGGTGCGGTTGCTGGATTCAGGCGAACCAGTTACGTATTTGTCTTCCCCGCTGTCGAAACGTAGAAAAACACTTTTCTGAACTGAAGAAATCCATACCGGATTTCTGGTTGACCATCCTGCAAAATGAAGATGAGCCCCAGGCTGGGGCCTGGTTGAAGGATCCCAGTACCCCAGGTAATTACCTGCGAGTAGTAGGGCCTGAGATCCTACAGGGAACCAAGGTTCAAGTTTGGCACACGCTTAAGGACAAAAAGTCACAGTTTTGCTTAAAGTTTGCTGGTGAGAAGGTTTTAGCTTCCCCAGGCGGGTATGAGGAAAGCAGAGTTTGGTCGCCAGACCCAGAATGTAAAGGCAAGACATTGTTATTATTTGAGAATGCCTCAGATATCCTAATTGAGCCTGCTCTGTTGGATTGGGCTGGTTTAGATTCTCCATCTTCTTTCTCCCCGATTTTTCAATATAAACCAGCATGGGGGGTGAAGGTTCTCAGAGCAAAAGGTAGGAAGCAGCCTATTTCTATTGCTACCGACCGACTGAGCAAAGAGTCGGGCTTTGAAGTAGGGTCTATAGATCTATTTAAACTCTGGAGAGTCCTAAAACGCATCTCTTCTCAGAAACAGGCCAGTCTTCAATGGCTCCAATCGTTGCTAGCTACTCCGTCGGCTAAATGGCTGTCCGATAAAGGAATGGCAGTCGACGTTCAATGTGCTCGTTGTCGGTGGGGCTGGGAGACAGCCTCTCATATATGGCTGTACTGCCCAGTCTCCCTTCAAGTATGGACCTGTGGAAATATCACTGGCAGAAATGGACAAATGAGGAATTTCCTCGGTCCCACGAATGGATCTTATTTGGTGCCGCTCCAGCAGAGGTGGATCTAGCCATCGGATGGGGCTACATCGCTCTGGTATGTAGAGGAGTCATAATGGAGGCCGTCTGGAAAGGGAGAAATAGTACGGTATTCTGCCACGAGACTTTCTCCTTTCACAGGTTGGTCGGCGAGATAAAAAGCCAAATCCAGCTGGCTATAAAAGTAGACTGGAGGGATTCAAAGACCCAGGCCAAGAAGAACAGATTTTGGTTTACTAAGACTTGGTTCAAAAACAGCCTCTTGGCCTCTGCTTCTCCTGAAGGGAGACTGAGCATCTGTAACTGGCTTCGGCACAACGCCCCAGATTTTGTGGACAATGGGCCGTGTTAGGCCCTGGTTTTATTCGTTGGTTCCCCAGAGTGTTCGTACTTGACTATTCCGGTTTGCTTTAGGGTTCTTTTAGAATCGATAATTCTTTTGATGAAGCTTTTAGAGTAATCTATAACGGGCTGTAGTGCAGAATAGGTTCTCCAATGTCCTTTTGTTGTTTTGCCTTCCTTTATAGAAGGTAACGCTGATTCAGTTGGTAGGACAGTATCCTTTTAGGTAGATAAGAATGTGAGGAAGTTAATGGTTTTTGCATCTGCGGCTATGGGTCCCTACTGGGTCCTGTAAAAGAACTAGGACTCTCGGTTCCAGTGGGCAGGTACAGTAGCCTGCATAGGGGAGGATGGTGGAGAGTGTCTGCTCTCAATGAGGAACCAGGTTCCGCTCGGTCTGATAGGCTGAGTTGTGGGCCGCAGATAGGCCAGTATTAGATGTAGATGGTCTTCAGTAGGAGATAGGTCTAGCGCAGTCTTCATAGGCAGAGCGATGTTAGGTGAGAACATCTTGCATTGAAGTCTGTACTGAAGTCTGTATCGAAGCCTGTTTTCAAGTCTGTTGATGAATCTCCAAGTAAATGACTTGGATAAGCTAAACGGGCTGATGCTGCCGGGATAACCCCGGGTAGAATTGTGAGGTCCCCCGCCTCGATTATTTTTCAATGAAATCTAACTTTAAATAATAATAATAACAATAATATATTAAAAAAAAAAAAAAAAAGGAAGTGGTAGTGTGAGTGTGCCCTCAGTGAGGGCACCTCAGCCCCGGGGGCACGTTGTCAGACTCCCTGAAACACAAAACAAGAAAAAAAAGAAAACAGAAACAGGGATTGGGCCGTGAAAATGGCTGGATACATTCCTCTAAGTGCAAATGGCTGGATGCATTCCTCTAATTGCCAGTGCCATAAGGGTTACAATCCTCTGAGGAAACACAGCTTGCGCAGATCAGGGATTCAGATTGTCAGATTCCAGAAATAGAAAAAAAGAACGGAAACACAGATTCATTGGTAAAAGTGGCTGGATACATCAAGGTTACAATCCTCTGAGGAAACACAACACATCTAGAGCAGATCACGCAATCGGCCCCGCCTCGTAGGCAGGGGACTCATAATAAACACACGGGAAATTAAAAAAAAAAAGAAAACAACAAGTTTCAGAATGTGACCGTCTTTCCTGTAAGATGCATTATGTAGAGGGGGACTGTGAGCATGGCCTTCTAGACTACCCTGCCCGACATCATTGCAGTACAGAAAGCTTTTTCTTTTCTCCCCCTTTTCCTTTCACGCGCCGGCAAAAGAAAACTAAGGCTTGGACCCCACTGGCCGGCGGCTGGAAGCTGGTGTCGGCCATAAAAAATGGCCGACCGTGGTTGGAAACATTCTTCCTCCTTTCATTGGGACCCCACCGCAGGCCTATAGTTTCGGCATTGGAAAAGTTTGGGCATACCCGAATAGGAAATCGCACCGGGGTGTTTCCCAAAAAGGCAAGCCCGGCGGGGGCTGTGGTCCATGGTCTGCTTGCGCAGCCAATGAAGTGTCTACAAAACGCCACGACGTCCAGCCCGATCCTGGAAACTGTTTGACATGCCCCCCCCCCTACTCATCTGGAGCCGTCCTTGGAGACTGTTTGGAAACTCGTCGCCAAAAATTTCCAGACCACGAGCCGAGTAGAAACGCCCCGTCGCCTTTTCCACGACCTCTTTCCAACCGCAGTGGGTTCTGAAATTCCTTTCCAGGCCGACTTTCCACGACGGTTTCCAACACCTGTGGGGTCTGAAAAACACTTCCTCGCCAAAACTTTTCCACGCCGCCGGCCAGTGGGGTCCAAGCCTAAGCGTAGGACCCCCAGGAATGTGGAAAGGAAAAACTTTGTGGCAGAAGTGTTTGCGGGACCCCACACCTCGCGGAAAAGTTTATGGAAACTTTAAGGCCGAAATGTCTTCCAAAAACCGTATTCCGGGACCCCACAGCCCGCATTTCGTGGCTTGGAAGATCGCATGTGGATGTTTTCACATGCTCCGCGTTCTGGAAAACGGCGAGCGGAGGAAATGATGTCACAAATTTGTGCCGAAAGCTGAGGTTGGCCCCCAGAGCCATCTTGAACCTTTCCAAAACCAGGTCCCGTGGACGGGAGGCAGCAGCCAATAGCAATGAAGAGTGCAAAAAAAAAAAAAAAAAAAAAAAAAAGGAAAAAAGAACAAAACAAACGAGTGCCAACGGAAACAGGCAGCGATCAACTGATTTCCAAAGGGTTTTCGAAACGCATTTGGTCCTCCTCCTCCGCGATGGGGACCCGGCAAAACTGCTTTCCGGCTTTCCAAAATCCTTTGCCGGTTTTTTTTTTTGTCCGGCCGCTTTTTCGTTTCCATCCTTTTTCCAGTGGGGTCCAGGTCTCAGTCTCTTTTTTTTTTTTTTTTTTTTTTTTTTTTTTCCAGACCTCAGTCTCAATAAATTACCAGGACAAGTGTTTTCAAAAGAGAAGAGGGGAGCTCTTGACTAGAAGGGTGCGCCACATAACTCTGAATTACCTGGGACCGCCCACCCGTGGATATATATATATATATATATATATATATATATATATAGTGGTGAAAATAAAGGGTAATAGTACCAATTAGCAATGCTCAGTTGGTACACACACCCATGAACTATTGAAATACAGACTCGAGTTCGAATCCAGCTGCTGTCAGATGACCACCAGAATAAATTCATTCCTAATTACCTGCCGCCGGTCAGTTCAAATGCTAATATCTCCAATCTCGACTTACAAAAAAAAAAAAGAGGGTAAGACCGTAAGGGATTGAAGGGAATGAGTGGCTCTATCGTTGGTTCTGTTCCTCGTCGACCAGTCAATTGCGACTGCCAAGCACTCGTGTGACACAGCGAGTATGTGCTATGTCGAAACAGCGCGTATGTGCTTTGAGCTATGTCGAAACAACCCTCTCTGATTCGTCCGCAGGAGCGTCCGGGCAATCCACCTAAGAACTACTCTTCCTGACAAAGCAAATGATTGAGCGACTGCGGGTACGCAGAGCGTCTTCTCCCGGCTGAAGCGTGGTGTTAGTGCCCGGCTGAACGCGTAGGTGCCCCTGGAGTTGCACCACAAATTAATGCTCACCGTACGCGCGTGTCTCGTTCCCGGGCAGAATTAAAGGGGTACTGCTTTTTATCTCTATCTCCTTGTTGAAGGGGTACTGCTCGCCGGTGACGAGCAACCGAATTGAAGGCCCCCCAGGATAAATGGGGCATGGGTGTCTTTTTCAAGGAGGGGGGGGGGGGGGGGGGGGGGAAGAAAGCAATTACGCGGCAAGTATACAGCAAGACTGCAATCTAGAAATGTGTGCACTGTTTGTTGATGCTCAGAATATAGTTATTAAATTGAATCATTATTAATTTATTAATCATTAACTCGACATAATTAATTAAGAATGAGAGAGGCGATCTCACATCCATCCGCCCTGCGAACAGGTAAACATAGAGATAGCCTCTTGCGAGGAAGAAAATTGTCTCTGAAATCAGAGGCCATCTCTCTGGCAGACTCAGCCAGACTGGCAAACATCAGCCAATCAGAAAAGGGAGGGGAGGAAGAGAGGAGTGGAGTCAGTGGACTAACCGCATAAGCACACACTAGCAATCTGATATGATATGGACAAGCTGACGGACGGACGAAGACAATACGCGTTCTCACAGTTCACATGTGGAGGTGAGAGTAGCAAAAGTGTATTCCACCACTAAAAAATTGGATTTACATCCACCTCGCTGCTGGGTGCTCGCAGCCACCATGCGGCGGCATTCCCACCAAGTGGCCACCAAACAGGCTCAGCGAGGTCGGTCGCTTCAGGAGGGTTTCGTCGTTGCTTTTCCACGCACAAGGCGCTACCACGACGCGACTTTCTGCATTCCAATCGGAATACAGAGATTGGAGATCAGCACGTTGAAGGTTGGTCGGCCGAAAACTGGTTTCTTTCGGCTGGCCAGAGAGAGTCGTGACCAACGCCCAGAGAATATGTCGACGAGGTCGCAGCACTTCGTGTGTCCTCTTACGCAAGGCGCACCATAACCAAATAGTTGCTTCGCCAATTCATGGCGGTATACGTATATATATGTATAATATATATATACATACACCCTTACGTCTCTCTTGCTCCTTATCTGTCAGTACTTCCGGCAAGTTCTGTGCTCGTCCTCTCTACATCCCTCAGGCTGCCTCTTCCCTTCCGTCAATCTGTTCATCTGTCCCCCATCCCGTCCCTACCTCCAATCGTCGTCACCCGAACAGAACTTACAGTAATTATGCCTGGATTTGGCCCAACTTCAGTCTAGATACAGTGATAATATGGGTATGTTCTATTCGGGTGAAGACAGCAGCACCTTCTAGCCTCTTACGACCCATAACTTTTTCTCCGCCCCTCACAACCTCCCCCCCTCCCCCCTCTTTCATCCATCATCCTTGCTCTCTCCTGCCACCATGTGGCATCCACCGTGTGGCCGTGCTGGGAGATATATCCCCTTAGCTCCCTCCTTTTTCTTATCCAGCACCACTTCTGCGCTCTTCCTCTCTACATCCCTGCCCTCTTCCCTTTCGCCAATCTGTATATCTGTAGATCTCTATCTCCTGCTCCACCATCCTGTCCCTACCTCCTAGCACCGTCTGATCTCTACCACCTATACGAATGCTTCTCTGCCCTCGAGTACCCCTCTTTCCTCCCTCTTTCTTGGTCTNCGAGCCAGAAAAAATAAAAATAAAAAAATAAAATAAAATGATCGAGGCCGGGGTCCTCACAATTCCACCCGGAAGTTATCCTGGCAGCCTTAGCCAGTTTCTCTTATGGAGCAGAGTCACCTTCAGCCCCGCCTATCATCTTTACTGACCTTATCTGTGTCCTAAACTTCTGCCTAATGTCCTACTACCTGTCTTTTTTTCTTTTTTTTTTTGACCTACTACCTGTCTTGCAACTACAGGCGCCCTCTCTGTCACCCCTTCTCCCCTACCTCCCCTCCCTGCTAAACTGTATCCACAGACCTATCACGGTCTGACCCCGGCCCAATTCGCCCGAGCGGAACGGTTACCCTGTTCCATTGTAACCCCCTTGGCACTCTCCCACCCTGCCATCTTCCCCGAACACAACGCACCCATATTTTGACTCTATCGGGCCGCAAACATACCGGGGGAAGATGGTGGTAATGACCTTACCAACCCGTTTGCGGTCTACTGTGACTGCCGACAGGAACAGAGTACCCTGGTTCAACGTCTTCTTCCTTAGCCAGCCCTTCTCGCATGGCCGAATCAAGTCTTCTCTGGTCCTCATCCGTAGGTCTCTCTCTCTTCTGCCTGAAATATCACAATCACTGTCCTCTCCTTGAGCCATGCCGTGGTTAGTCTGTCTATACCCAGATTGACCTTGAAAATGCGAATTCCGTTGTCCATGACAAACTCTCCCTGACGTAGGTTCTCTGGAAACCCCCCCTCCTCGTAGCAGTTCGCTATTAGTAGTCTTATCCAGTCCTCTTCAGACAGCGGCAACCCCTTTGCCTCCGGACGGACGAGCCTGACGGTTTCCCTGATCCATCCTTGATACCTCGCTCTGCTGCCTCTTGTTGTGACTCAATTGTTGCTTTTCATGTCCCTCACCTTCCTCCTACTACTTGCTGCGCTTGCTCACGTCAAAGGCGGGCGGCTCAGCGTGTGGTGCTCACCCAGGTAACAGTTCTATTAGAAAAAAGTGTACTAGGGGTATGTCAACTTCTCATGATGATGCGACTAAGGGGCAGATCCCACTTCTTATAAGCAGGGCACTTTTAGGCAAAATTTGGGATCCCACTTCTTTCCACGAAACTCGGATCCTGTCCCGGAACGTCGGGGAAGTGGAAACGTTCTCGTACGTGGAGGCGCGAGCGTGATTGCAGGGGTGGTAGTTCTACCTATTTTCGAAAGTGGCCTACCCCGTACCCTGCACCGTGAAAGAAGGAGCCCTTGTTTTTTTTTTCCTTTTTTTTTTTCCTGATGTGCAGGCCGTTGGATCCTCGAGGCGCCAGACGATAGTGCCGCTCCGTTAGGAAAAGTCCCGTAGGGCATGTGGGGTCACGTTTTTCTTTCACATTCCGTGTGCTGCGCCTCCATCTTTCGCGGCACTTTTACGTTCTTACGAAAAATGGTAGAAGTGGGATCTGCCCCTAACTCTGTGGCCCCCGTGTGGTGCCTACCTCCCTTCCCAGGCCGGTTGGTTGCTTTTTTTGTGCCCAAAGAGGAGGCTACACTATGGCTAGAGCATCATGGCGGTGCCCTACGCGAGTTCCGGAGCAGCGTTAAACTGCTGGCGCTGACTTGGGCACTCCAGGCGCTGGCCGCCCATCGGCGCCGCCTTTCGGGGTTTCCTTAGGGACCGATTCACTCTGCCTAGATTGACTGAATGCAGAAACCCTTCGCGCCCCCCAAATGCACAGAAAAAAGGAGAGGAAAAAAAAAGTGGCGATTTAGACTCGAAAAAAAAAAAGAGAAAAAAAAAGGGGGAAACTATCCGGGAGTCAGAAAAATGAGTCGTAATTGCCCTACGGGCCAAGATACAGTTTGGAATTTCAGTTCGGGCAATGTATACAACCCGGCTTAATGGCCAGGTAGGGTGCCCAAAGTGCAATTACAAACTGCATTATCTTGTCCATTACTACCCATAGTGCAATTATTACTCTTTTTTGCGACTCTACTGAAGTTAACCCCCCCCCCAAAAAAAGAAGAAGAAGCAGAAGAAGATATCCCAAGGCTGTCTCCCTTAAATTAAACAAAAAAAAAAAAAAAATTCCGACGATTATCCACAGCCGAAACAGCAACAGGGAGAAGGGTGTCCTGCAATGTAAGTCCGTTCTCTGGGAAAAAAAAAAAGAAAAAAAAAAAGAAAAGAAAAAAAGAAAGTCTGTCCTATCCAAACCGCAAGGGAAATGAAAACAAACACCACCGCCTTTTGCCACAGAAACAGGAAGATTCATCTGTGCTTATGAATAGTGACGACTGTATCTTGCCACCTGTGGGCAGATGCAGTCCTCGTTTTCCCCATTCGTGAGCCATGTGGCCAGGAAGAGGAAGAGGAAGAGGAAGATGCAGAGGAAGACTGCACGGCAAAGACAGTTGCAGCAAGAGAAAGGAGGAAGAAGGAGAAATACACCAATGATCACACTCTGTGACATACACAAAAGCATTGAGATTTTAATCACAAATTTCATAACCGGAAGTCCAATCACCAACCACGTGCCACGTGGCGACTCTGGCGAGGGCCTCAGTCTGTGCTTATTTTGGCTGAAGCTACCGTAACAGCCACTGGAGGTCATGCGAAGCTGCAGCTATCTCTCAATGCCGGCCAGCATCCTTCAAAATTAAGATATAGAAAATAATATAAACTTCTTTTATGTACACCGACTGGCTTTTCAGAAGACCCAAAAGCCACAAGTCCCGGGCCTTACGGCTCAGCTGGTACACGGTACACCCACGAACTGCTGAAATGCGATCCCAGGTTCCAATCCAATCAATTTACAACTGGCCGAAAAAGACAGACAAGCCAACCCAGGACAGGGATGACCTCTCTTCAACCTAGTACTAGATCGCCAGACTAACCATTAAATGTAGCTGTCTCCCTGTGATGAGAGACCCAAAAAAAATAATAATAATAATAAAAAAAAAAAACCTAGCTGTCTCCCTGACCAGATAGAAACAGTGACAGGTACAATACTGAGGCAATGATGCCAAACCATACCCGGCAAGTTCAGGTACTGTCTCTTATACACATCTAGATGTGTATAAGAGACAGCTTCAACCTAGTACTAGATCGCCAGACTAACCATTAAATGTAGCTGTCTCCCTGTGATGAGAGACCCAAAAAAAATAATAATAATAATAAAAAAAAAAAACCTAGCTGTCTCCCTGACCAGATAGAAACAGTGACAGGTACAATACTGAGGCAATGATGCCAAACCATACCCGGCAAGTTCAGGTATTGCGATTGGGAGGGGGAGGAGAGGGAGGGGGGGGGGCCACGTAAAGGGGTCTGAGCAATATGCTGTTGGAAGAGAGAGTTCAGAGCAAGGCTGGACTTCTCTGTGTCGCAATTAATGGAAAGGCGCGATCTCTGTCGCCGAAGGGTGGCAAGCATCCCGTTTCCTGATATTGCACTGCTCTCCATTTTCTCCTTAAAAGAATGATAGTGATAACAAGCGATCAAAACTGATGAATATCCGGTGATTCCGGTGGCTCGCAAGTGAGCCTCCCGTCGATCACGACGATGAACCCGTGACCTCGCCTCCTGTGACAGGTGTCACTGCGGCCTTTTCTCTCTCGCACAATACCTCTCTCTCTCTCTCTCTCTCTCTCTCTCTCTCTCTCTCTCTCTCTCTCTCTCTCTCTCTCTCTCTCC